TTTTTACTATAACGTATATTTTTTTATCAATCAATCATAAAACCTAAGAAATACCTGGTAAAAGTAGCGAAAATACATTATAAATAGGTATAACATTTAAAATTCTTCAAATTTTTATGTAGGTTCTTATTCCTATTTACAAAAATTACAAAAAAAATTCAGTTTAGGTATTAGTTTATTATAAGTAATGTTCTAAATAAAGCAAACAAATCATGAGTTTGATTGATTGTCTTACATACCACATTTAGTGACAAGCAATACTTCAATGGAAATAATCGTAACTAAACGGTCAGGTTCACTATAGGCTATTCGTCTTCAACACTAGAGGTGTTATGTGCAGTTTACCGCTTGATATCCTTCTTTTCCTAAGAGTTTTCTGTTTTTACTATAAATTTAAGCAGCAACCGATCGTTTCATCAACCATGTACTTGATGGTGGTGTAAAGATTTGTATGTTATATGGCGCATTTTTAGGGTTTCGTACCAAAATGGTAAAACGAAAGCTCTTTCGTGTGACCTTATCTGTCCATCCGTTCGTTCATTTGTCACATCGGTATATATTTGCAACTAGCCCTTTGAAATTTGGAATAGTTTTAGACATATATATATTTTTTATGAATGATAATGGGGTGGTAACCTCGCCTGCGCTATACACTGGCGGGTTACCAGAGATGGATTGACAAATTCCACAAAAATTAACCACGATAGTTTCCAAGAAAAACCGTATGAATGTCGACCTAATAAGGTATATTGCTAGCAATGGGGCTAGTAGACCGCATTACTAACAATCCCTTCCCCCCGCTCCACCCACGTACATATTGCAGAGGACTTAATAACTTGCGAGGGAATCCAAAACCAATATTCAGAGTTTGAAAATGGACTTAGTCCAAGTTGGACATCATATAAAAGAGCTTTATTTGTACATTCTTAAACTAATTCTTTTTTGTTCTGTTTATTTTGCGTAGTTTTTTGGTCATATTTCCGAATTTTTTAAAGCGGTTTTTTTTTTTATTATAGCAAGGCAGGTGACTATACTATCCTGACCGAAAATAGAGACAATATGGCTCATGAATGCATTCAACCATCATTTTAAAATACCCACGTCAAAAATTCGTATAAATTTGAGATTCGCTTATATCGAATGTACGTTGATATCGAATATTTTTGCCATATTGAGATCAACTTAGCATTGCGATAGTGGGCGTATTATTTTATTACATTTATTACATAATCATTTTAAGAATTGCTTCGATCATTTTAATATGTTAATAAAACGAGTACCTATTTATTATAATAATTTATACTTAGTACCTACTTTAGGATCCACTTACTAAATCCTTACTAATATTATAAAAGTAATCGTAAGTCTGTTTGTACGCTCGTTACCTCCAGTCTCGTATACTAAATTACAACAGTATCAGAAAAAAATTAAGAATAAGATTATCACTTAAGTAAATTAAGTTTATTTTGACTGATTTTGTACCTTGCAATCAATGATATCTCGTTTTTACGGAAAAAGTCACTGTCATAGCTAGTAGATATACTTTATAATTAATAAATATGGATGTTCTTTACATTGTTTTCAATATCAATGCGATATACTCGTATATATATTTTGTATTGATGAATGTGGAAGAAGCGAAAAAGGTTTGTTTGAATCGAAGCATTTGGCGTTCCATTGTTTCTACCTACCCTAATGGGAGACAGGCGTGACAGATATGTATGTATGTATGTATATATATTGTAAAATTCTTGATATTAAAGGATATGTGTATATTGATGTCTATACGAAAACTATGATCTCATTGCTGGCCTGCCGCGAAACCTTCCCATCACTGAAATCAGACATGACAATGATGTATGGGTAATAAATACATAACAAACAAGTAATCACATTACCTATGCTTATCATAACATAAAATAAGTAGCGGTTGTAAACTCGAACTGTGTTCTAGTAAAATCGAGGCATTGCAGTATGAATGTACCTACTTGATTTGAGAATGAAATCTCAAGGGTTTAAATCCTCACGTACTTATTTCACTTTACCTAACACTGTTTTGACACGAATGTAAATATCAAAGGTATCTTTTTATGTACCAACTTGACCAACTCGCCACTGAGTTACACGTAGGTAGATATGTATAACGTACCTAGTATTCTCATAAATAAATTAATATTCTATCCGGTATTCTGGTGTTTCCCCTACAAAATAATAACGTGTATAAATGTAATTTAAAATTTATTTTAAATCTTTGTTGTTTCGAATCATCATTAATTTTACTATTAATTTTTCATATCACATTTCGTACCTACGTGTTATTACTTATTATAAATTCTTTATTTATATGCAAAATAACGTTAATATAACAAATGTGTATTACAGCATTGTCATATTCAGTCATAACCTGAAATAAATTCTAAATATTAAGCCTTAAGATACATATTTAAATAAATGTCTGACTTCCTACTGAATAAGGTGGGTGGGTATATCCTTTATATGAATATTCACAATAATAATTCATTCCAGATGGTTAATTGTGTAGTTTGAATTAAACGCTTGCTAAATAGTGATAATAAAAGGGATTTCACGAAGTTTGACGATTGTGGACTGAATTATCATTTGAATATCTGTGTGAACTGGAGTGTAACAGTTGGCACACGTTTGATACTGTATTATGTATTTTCAGAATGCGACGACGAGACCCCGGTGTCGATCGAAGCGTTGGTGCGGTCGCCTTCTCTGCCCGTTCATTCCTCTGGCAATCACGGCGCGCCGAGCTTGTGGACTGTAGTCATGCGCTTACAAAATGAACTAAAATCCCTTAAATTGGATGTCAGAAATCTGCAGCTACAACTGATTGAGGAAAAACAGGAACGGAATCTTGCCATAGCCGCGTTGCAATCGAAAAATATATTCAAAGACGCAAAAGAAAGTAAATGTTAAGTGTAATGTCTACCTACGCATTAAGTATTATTTTTTAATATAAAAGCATTCGTCGACATCTTTTCAGCCATTCATTACCCACTATTAAACATAAGCCTTCTTTATATATATATATATATATATATATAGCCAAGGAACGGCATTGATATTGTCATCAACTCTGTTGTGGTTATCATTCTATTTAGTCGAGTTGTTCTATTTACTTATACAAGGCCCTGATTTAAAAAAATCATATTCCGTGGGTTCTTCGTTCATTTGGCTGGCCCATTGCCACTTCAACTTGTCGATATTTCGCCCCTTATCAATCATATTTGTTTTTCTGCGAAAAGTATTACATACAATGTAATTGCATTTGTGTTTAAGAATAAATTGTAATAATATAAATACAGTCGTATATTTTATTTTTCAACTTATACATTACATAGCCTCATTTTAAATATAAAAACAATAGTAATACAATTTTTAATTATGATACTTGCTTATAAAAGATATCTAATAACCTATTTTTATCTATCTCATATGTTATTACAAAATATGAAACAATGTAAACAACATATTTGTAACAGTAAAACTCTTGAGTACTTATGTAATTAAACTGCAGTATCCAGTCCCGGGTTATTCGTAAAGGGAATTCGTACTAAAACAGAGTAATATATAACTAAAACTATTCTGAACTATGGCGGGTTGTGACGGGCGGCTCGGTTCACTGGGTGCTCACTGGGGTGAACCGCTATACCACGTAGGTGTAAGGCAAAGGACAAAACAATGCATGCAGCCTAGATAAAAACACCTTAGGTGCTCTTTAAACGTCGATTTTCTCGGTTCAACGATTGCTCGTTATAGATAATCAGGCAAAGACGACATTAATAATGCATGGAATTCTGACTAAAGGATTATGCCGATGGAGTAGTTTACCAATGGAATTTATTTATTTTTCACCGACTTCTAAAAAGGAGGTTCTCAATTAGGTTGTATTTTTTTGTTTTTTACCTCGTGACTCCGTCAGTTTTAAATCGAATTGGAAAATTCTATTTTATCTGAAAGAATATGCTTACAGACTGGTCCCATAGAAATTTTATCAAAATCGGTGTAGTAGTTTAGTTTTTAAATCAAAATAACAATTGCAGTCTGTTTTCTTTTGCAGAACACAATTATATTTTTACAAAATACGCCCCATCCAGTACCTGATGCATCCGAAAAAAATGTTTATACTAAATTATTGACTAATAAAAAATACAGTCCTTAGTTAATTAAAACATTCTAAACTAAATTGGTTGATAATCGATTGCTAATTTGACGTATTGTCATTTAACTATTTAGATACTTACCTACGTAGTAATTACCTGGCGACCGAATGAATTTAGGTACTTGCCACATATAAATAAGAGCGTAATAAATACTTAATAATCTTCTCTTTCAGTACCTAATCCATAAAATAACAACACAACCAGTATTTTATGCATGACTACAACATAGTATTGATACGACACGGCGTCTTAGGTAAATTACATTCGTGACTAATGGATAGATACCTAAGTAGCTATCTCCAAGATGAACAAATTCGATCCAATTATGTCTACATTCCTTGTGCTCTATTTGATAAAATACTGGAATGTTTTTATTTCTTTCACAGTTAGTGAAAAATTTGGTCGTCGCCTCGTCGTCGGTACCAACAACAAACGGTCAACGTTTTAATTTCATTTTCAATTTACTGACTGCACCTACTGTATAATTTTGCATCTGTACTGTGTAACTAAATCGCGTATAAAAGTTCTCTTTATTTCTTTTACAGACTAAAGTTATTAAGTCCTCAAATGGGACTTGTTGCCTTTCGAAATGAAAACTTCGTCTTAAATGAGAGTAGAGAGAGATAGCTATTTATTATGGAGTATAACACAAACCCTCGGAAGACCATTTCGACAAGTCATTAATATTTAATTAATAAAACTTGCCGTTGACTTTTATTTGACTGATTTAATTATTAAACAATCAGTAGCAGATCAATCTACTTTCAATGTTACAATTAGGGATAAGGGAGTTTAATAATGTACGAAATGTAAACCCGTCTCAAGTTTATTGTTATGTACAATAGTGTAAATGGCACTAATTAAATATTTAGTATCGGTACCTGTGGATTACTTAATTAATGTATTGAGAATTAAAACAATGTATTATTTATAATCTATGCAGTCGATGGCATAATTAAGTATTTACTTATGTAGCCTGTATAGGTAATATACAAGTGCTATAAAATTTATTAATATTCTTGTAAATATAAAATCACTAGTTAAAAAAGTATCTAGTCTTTTTACATTTGGTACTAACCAATAGTATCTACCGTACATATACAATAATACCTACGTATTATAACAAATTACAATATTGTACAAATCATTTTTTTTTTGTGAATTAATGGCACAATATGTACTTATTTCTTTTTATGTAATAATATAGGTACACAAAAACATTCAGGCACTTCAGAGGTACTGCAAATTTCTCAACTGATAAGTATTAATTAGGCACCTAAATGCTTAGTACCTCTTGAATATAAAACATTTAATTTAATTTCAAACTCCGAATAGACTCGCTTACATTTTTGTGAAAGTGAAACAGCAGTAGATATTTTTCAAACACATAAACTTATTTTATAGGGTCGTAAACGCATCTGCTAATGCTATTTACTTAGAGTATACTTATTCCAATAAAGATTTTTGCTGTATATTTGAGGCGTTATTTATAAACGATAAACATGTTACATAGTACATAGCTAGTACGTATATATATAAAATAGAAAACTATTGATGAAATATATAATTAAAAACCAAAAGTCTAATGACTTACACAATACTCGATTGTTATTCAAAACAGTAATTAATATCATTTTGAATAATAATCGTAAGTTATACGTGTACAATATGTTGACTGAAACATCTGTTTTGTTTTGTAGTTAAGTAATAAAAGTTCACTCGGCTATCACTTTATTCTGCACTTGTTGTTTCGATTGGAAACGATAGCGGTCTCTCCAGCAGTGCACCTGGTTCCGAATACGAGAAACATCAGCTGCGTACGTGCGACAACAGCCTCCGACGTACCGAACACCAAGGTCTAGCCACTGCTGAATGAATACCTCAACCGCCTCGCATTTATCTCGATCTATCCATCTGAAATTTTAACCAAATGTAAACCATATAAACATCTTCATAAAATTTTGCATCAAACGGCTCAACCAATCGTTATGAAATTTGGTATACACATATTATTTAGGATGGAGGACATACTATTATATTACTACTATTATTTATGACGGTTAATCTACTAATCCCAGTTACGCAGATCAAGTTCTAAAAAAGCTAATACTTAATAATAATCTATAGAAATGATATAAAATTTTTAGGAATTTTGTCTGTATGTTTGGGAACAAACATACAGACAAAATTCCTAAAAATGCATCACGCATAAACTACAGCACCAAATTAGATGCAGTTTCGACAGCTGTGTTTCTTAAAGTCTAACATAAAATTTAGTGCATGTCTTATCTAGAAATGATCTATTTAATTGATTTTCCTACTTTCGAAAAGTGTTTCGAAGTATCGTGCAAAAAGCTAGTATTTCATAAAATTATATTTAAGTTTATTATTATTAATAAACTTAAAAATATAGTTTTATTAGAAAATAATATAATATATTGGTCTTTCTTTTGTAGCATAACGTTAAATTTGTTAGGTACCTATCTATAAAGCATATACTATAAAAATACGGTATATAGAAGCAAAGGTAGTAAGATCTACATATTAAGAAAGCAGGATTTCTGAGCACATACAAGTTAATTCAATGGTGGCATTCGTTGTTATCTACGGAAAATTATAATTGTATCGTGATGATAAATCATCTCATACCACGCCGTACAAACTACATTACCTATTTATAAAGTCACCCATAGTCCTTATTTTGTACTTAGTTGTCTTGTAAGGGGCTTATATTTAGAATGCCCTTTGTTTTAGTTGGCTTATCACAAAAGCGTTCCTTTATTTTCATATCTTTAAAGGAAAATGGGTACAAGCAATATTTATAATGTAGATGGCTAGACATTATACAAGGCGAGTAGCAGGTAGGTATGTGTAACAAATGTCTTTAAGTAGGTAGGTAGCTGCTATCTGCAGTGTGAAATGTGTGCCCGTTTGCCCTTATAAAAGTTTTGGTGACTTATCTAACTGCGAAATCTTACCCTATTTGAGGGTTGTATTTTTCGCCAGAATTGGGGTAAACGATAAGTGGAATGGGAGCATGTGGTCGGTCGTCGTTGAAGCCCTTTAGCAGGTTTGCTACATAAGACGGCGCGCAACAGTTCACACCCACAGCTACCAGTTGGTCAGGATTTGACTCCCAGCATTTCTTGGCTACTTTTTGGAAACTCTCTCCGTGAGCTATACTTTGGTTATCCTGAAATAATATATTAACAAATACAGTAAAGGTAAAAATGTTTGTACATAGAAAATGTTTTCGCAAAATTTGGAACATTGCCAATAAACAAGATGGTAGACTAGATATCAAAAAGATGCCAAATGGACGATTTTACAATTTCTATTTGTTACCGCTTGTCCATTGAAATTTCAAATGACGGGAATTTTAAATTTCGCATTTAAAATTCGGCCGATTGTCATTTTTTAATTATGTTGTTATATATGATGAAAACCATGATAAAATATTCAGCTATATTCATTGTTTACCTTGTCTGTGGCGATCGCTAATATTAAACGTATTTGTATAAGCTCGGCGATTTTCTTTTGTCAAGAGGAATGGATCACAGAATTTATAGAAAGTTTTGCGTTTTACCAGCATGCTGAGTAGGCTAAAGCCTAGGGCAGCAGCTTTTAGGGGTTACAAATTTGAGGTAATTTTTTTATAATGATAAAGTTACAATTTCATTGTAAAAAATTATAGCAAAGAGCCGAATCAGGTATCTAAATAAAAGAAAAAAATCCAGAATGATGTTGGTGAACTTTATGTATAGGTACTTGCTATTGTAGATAGGTACTGTTATTTACACCTATTAATCACCTTGTATGTATACCTATTTCTAATATTAATAAGACTAACCTTGCAACTAAATGCTAGCCAAGCTTTCATATTTGGAAATTCACGCAACAGGTCGCAGAGCATCTCCGCTTCTTCTTGACACGGAATTGTCTCCAACGCTAAAAGATCTACTCCAGCTTCGACCAGAGCCTGAATCCGCGGTCGATGCCACTCTCGCATTGTCTGTTAAGCAAATTAAAATATAATTAAAATGCACGAGACTTCGAACTAAGTGTAAAAGATAACTAAAAAGACAACACAATATTTACAACAAAAATATAAACATGAAAATGAGTTACAGTACATTAATATCTTAACCAATCACTATAGTTTAGTATATATGTACTATTTGGGATGTAGAAGAACATATGCTAGTTTTTATCTCGGTCAGTGAACATACGTAAAGTCGCTGTTAAAAGTTAGTAAGAAAAATAAATACACAACTTGCTCCATAAAATTTTCCTAGACCGACCAACTCCTGTAGCTATTTAAATAATTTATCACTGTTTGCACATCTACCAAGATATGTAGATACCTATATATATGTGTATAATTAAGGACAATAAAAGCTCTTTACTTTCCTAGATATTTTTTTATTATGGTATGAAAATGCTGTCCTCGCCTCCGGTATCGATATACACTGACGGGTTACCAGTGAACGATGATAAGTGGAGATGAAGTCAGGTTAGTTACACACTTTTCCATTTTGCATTCGACTTCAAAAAGAGGGAAGTTCTTTATTCTGTTGTATTGTTTTTTATATTTGTTACCTCATAACTCCGGTAGTTCTAAACCAGATTGAAAAATTATTTTTCTTTTGTTTCTGAAAGATTATGTTTACCATTGGTTACACTGAATTTTTTTTTAAATCAGTAAAGTAGTTTAGTTTTTAAATCAAAATAACTGGCTGGACACAATTCTATGAATAATTTCCTGGTCACCATGATCGGTTTCTTAATTTCATCTTCAGCATGAAAATATTTTTTAAAAACTAATAATAAAATACTTAAGTAAGTAATAAACGTAGATGTGTTTCTCGAAGTAATTAAAAATTTCGTTAATTACCAACTCCTAGTAGTTAGGTACTAATAAAATTCTTAAAGTAGAAGCAAAACGAGTTGTTACAACTGAAAATATATAAGATGACATTGTAAGTCCTGGATAGAATTACTAGGTGTTGGATTAGGGCTAGATTTACAAAGACCTCGTTTCTATTTGTTTTGAGTGTATATTGTGTTCGTAGATAGATATCTAGACTAAAATCCAAATAACTGTGTTGTTAATTTCAATATTATAATATTAATATTGTGGTATGAAAATATTAATTCAATATGTCCATAATTTCCACAGGCCTTGGTTTATGTGGTTAACCGTAGGTACGAGTGGCTGAAATCATAAATGTGGTAATGATTTTTAGTTATGAAAAAACTTATTTGTTCTACATATGTTCCTTTATGATGTTGTACAATACACTGCTGAACCATAATATCTTAAGACGGAAAAGGTTATAAATCTTATTCCTATATCCTATAACTTAACATATCAGATTTCGCAAAAAGTGACTAAATCTTGATATAGTTCCAGTGCCACCATCGTGCTGTTATAACTACATATCATCAGAAGGGAACTTTTACAAGTTTGTTTTTACCTATATAAAAATAGATGGACCTCTTTTTTAGCTGTCAAGTTAGTTAAAGCCAGTTAATTCATAATTCTATCTAAAATAAGTGTTATAAGCTACTTTTTTTTACAACACGCCCATGATAACCCACATCACCAAAGGCATTGCAGGTGTGCTGCCGGCCTTTTAAAAAGGAATATTCTCTTTTCTTAATAATAAATAATAATAATAATTTTATTTACTTAAACAAAATTAGCCTGTAATACAATATAATTATGACCGCACACTAGGCAAAGCCTGTCTCGTGAAAGTCAAAGCTAGAAATTTAACAGTTATAGTGCGGCGAACAGGGTTAATTTAAATATGTGACATTGAATGTGAGTTTGGATATGCATAGGTGTTTGTATGGGAGTGTGTGTGTGTGTGTGTGTGTGTATGTGTGCGTGCGTGTGTGTGTGTGTGTGTGTGTGTGCGTGTGTGCGCGTGTGCGTGTGCGTCTGCGTGTGCTTGTGCGTGTGCGTGTGCGTGCGCGTGCGCGTGCGCGTTTAGTGCGTAAACATTTGGGTATGTCTATATATGATAGTCGTAAACTTTTAGTCTTGAAGGTTATGATGTCGTATCGGTTCGAAAATACTGCTGCTGGAAGTTGATTCCAAAGAGTGGTTGTGCGTGGAGGAAAGTGCCTTGAAAAACAGATAATGGACGACCGCCACTCGTCTAGATGGTTGAGGTGAAAATTTAGTTTATGGCGGGTTGTACGGTGGTGAAAATCAGCAGTAGGTACCAATCCGAACAATTTCTCAGAGCACTCCCCATGATAGATTCGGTAGAAGATGCACAGAGATGCAACATCTCTACGCAGTTTCAGTGGGTCGAGTCAGATTGTGAGGCGCTGATCATCAATGTTTCGAGCCACCCAACTTTGAATGCGGTCTAACGGAAGGAGTTGGTACTGTGGTATAGGGCACATATGGACAGGACCATAGATGAAAACAGTATTCCATATAAGACCTGACTTGAGTTTTATACAATTTCAAGCGGTGTTCTGGCATGAAATACTGTCTCACTCCATTGAGCACTTCTAACTTTCTAGAAGTTATCTTAGCCTTTTCCATCAAATGACCACAAAATTGGACGTCGCAAGTTATTTCGACGCCAGCGACCCAATACTTGACTTATTATTAAGGGAAGCGCCCTGAAAGTGAGGAGAAACGACAAACGGCGTCTTTTTTGCGGTGAACGCGCAGTCTTGTGTCTTCTTAGGGTTAAATTGGACAAGATCATATTCGCCCCAGATCGAAACTTGATCGAGTGAAGTTTTGATTTCAGACACAAGTCTGTTCCGGTACTCATCGGTATGTGCCCACAAGATTTTTGCATGACCGATAATGTATCATGTAATAATGCATCTCCTGTGCTGTACTATCTAAGTTGCGCTGCTGTGACTAAATCTGTTGTATCTTACTATCATAGGAGTAACTAAAATAATAAAGAACAGAAGAATATAATATTCATGCTTTTGGTGTCACCGGATATAATCTGCGTTGTTAGACGGACAATTCCAGTTCCACTTAGATGAGTAGGTACTTAAGAACATATAAAGTAAATGTTAAACTAAATAGTTTCAGTCACAAAGCCAATTGTACTCGTACTTTATTACCTTTTGCTTCAAAGTAGTAACTAAATCCACTTCTACAATTCAGTCGAGACGTAATATCAAGGTACCTATGTAAAATAAAACTTTCAACTTTCATTAACTCCGTTCACAACGTCCATTGCACAATTAGGATTTGCTTTAAAAAGTTTAAAAGAAAATGAGACCATTTGTATTCAATTTCTTAGTTATATTTCTTTGAAACTAACAAAGTAGCTGGGGATATTTAAAAAAATAGTAATTAAGTATAGGCACTTTAAATAATTTTCGTAACATTCCCTTTAAATAATTTTTTAAACGATTCATTAAATCCGTATTGCAATTTTAATAGATTTATTATTTAATTTTACAAGGGCCATTAGGTCTCCAGGTACTCTACGATGAAATATTTTCTCACAGTATCGTAAAATACTTTTTTAAATAAACTTTTTTATTTAATTATCTATATAAACGCTCTCAACTAATGAAAAAACACCACATTAATATTTTAATTAACGTAAGCAAATATTTGTTTCTTCGTGCTTATTTTTGATACGCATTTGTTCTAGATTTCGTTAATTAACTGTCCACCCCAGTCACATGCTTTCAGTTAAAAAAAAACGAGAAACGGAGAGGGAGTTTTTCATATTGGCGATGTAAATTTTAATTTGCCGGCAACTTTACGGCCCTCTTTACGATTTAGCTGGCGCTTTCAACCTTTATTAGGCTATGCATTCACGGGCCTTGGGGTTCCGTAAAAATTATAATGAACTTTTTTAAAATCAAATATCAAAGTTAATAAATAAAATGAAAAACTAGTGCACAAAACGAAATATTTATCGAATAGGCGCAGTACATTTCAGATAAAAGTAGATAATGGCACATTGCCCACATTCATAGCCCACATTATTAAACAAGTAACCACGTTTTAAATTAGCTTACAGTTTATTTATACTTACTAGTTTGTTTATAAGTCTACACTGAATACCTAGAGGACCCTAAAATCTCACGGCTGTAATGTACAATAATAAAAATACTCATTTAGAATTTACTGCTTTTAGTCAGAAAGCTACCTTTAACATAATAGAATCGATTTGATGAAGCGAATACTTCTAAAAGCACTCGATGACGTAGAAATAGAACTAATTAGGCGGGAGTCAGGTTCATTTATTATTAAACCACTAAGTAAATATTAGGTAGGTAGATAAAATTTGCCAACGGTACTGGAGTCAAATCTTTCTTTAGACTTTTTCTATAGCTGATACTAAAATCCTCTCAATTTGTAGATTGTTGGAATGCCTATGTCATTTCATTATCGGTGCACAATGGAATCAAATTCAATACGAGATTCTAAAAAATAAAAAGTAGGTTATAAGCAGCAATTGAATAATTTTCTATGAATGTAGGCATCTTTTAATAAGTCTATATGGTAATTTAGTTATATTGCGTACATTCACATACATGAATTAGGATAAATAGTCGCTAATAATTTAGGATATTGTGTAACTGTTCAGTAATTTTCAATAAAATCTAGTCTGCAGATTTTTTCATGGGTTATGGTTCACATTGATGAAAGGGGTACTCGAATGATATATATCATTAGCTCGCAGCCGTTGGGCATTTAGAAAATATGTAAGTTATCATGGATATGAAATGGATAGAGGATGAATTTATGGTTGAAAGTGAAGTATAGATGAATGGGTTGGAGGTGTGCGGATATATAGATGGATTTGATACTAGAGGATAGATTCATAGCTGGTTCGTTGAGTTAGAACAAATACCAAAATTGTCACGAAAACGATGAGATCAGACTGAGTGACCTTGCTGGCCTAGGAATAATTATCAGCATTATTGCTCCTAATCAATTGAAATGATTGAAACCAAAATGATTTCAGTCGACAGCTATTCTATTCTGTAATATACTTATAAGAAAAGTGTAAATATGAACAAATATGAGAAAGTAATCCTAAAATATAGTGCAGTTAGATTAAATTAAGACGTGAGTTATAACAGAATTAGACAGGTTTAAGATAACTATGCAAGAAAAAGTTACAACATTATTTTTAAGCAACGAAATAATGCTACAAAAATGTTTCTTAAATGCCTTTACACGTTTACACTAAAATAGTGGTTAAGTTGTCCTTATGAGGCTTCGCTAGCTTTGTCTATCTCTAACATAATGGTTGACACCACAAAGGGGAACGGCAACAGTTTAATTTTATTACAATTTGAGTAGAATAAGGCAACAAAACAAAGTCTGAATAGTAAACTTTATAAAATGTGTTAAATGCTTTACGTACTATTCGGTAAACTTGTTATCTTTATATGTCACAAATTAGTGAACGAAATATAAAACTTTTCCATCTATAAATGTATAAAAATAAAAAGAATTCACTTTCTTTTCTAATGATTTTAACTTTAGACCTATACTTTAATGAGACAGCTTTAATTTCTTACCTCTATGGATGTTGTGTCTGCATAACTGCCATCGTATTCAGAACCATCGTGAAGGTGTGCCCCAAAAGGTCCAATTGATCCCACCACCAACGGTACCTGACCTAAATAATGCCTGAGTATTATTACGGCCAATATTAAGAGATAAGTATTACACAATGTGCCGAAACCAAATAATAGAAAAGATGCGACTTGACGTGATAAAGAGAAAATGAAGAATGAAAGGTAGATAAATCATAGATTAGTAATCATTATCAGAGATCAAGTTTGGATTCTTTGTAAATTATCACTAGGAACTATATAGAACCGTGCCTGTATTTATCCAATTTTTGTGTCCTACCGTCGCAAGTGGCAACTACCTGTTAGCCCATCTGATTAAAAATAAACAAATAGACATAAACAAACTGTAGATATCGCGAAATATACTGTGTCACTCATAGCATATTTTGTTGTCAAAAGTTATACTGCTTCTTATTCTTAACCTTAAAATCTTCAGGCAGAAATGCATTAGTATTTTATCCCGGCGAAGTACACAAAACTATGAGGATCATATCGGCCCATATTTGTTATCTGTACCTACGAGGTCACCAATCTCAAAAATATATTCCTCATTGGTTTTATCGGTCCTTGAGCTATAGATATTTCCGGCTTATCGGTATTTCAGACACTTATCTTTCAAGCTATCATTGCGACTCGAGGTCTAATAAGAATTTCTATATATACATATATAAATTAATTCTACCTATTACAGTAGAGTCCATATAACAACTATGAGCTATCAGCAAATGTCGATGCAAAAATGAGAAAGGACATATTACGTTAGTTTGAACTCGTGGAATAAATATTGGAAAAAGATATATCCTTGTATACAATGCTAAAGTGGAAGGAGACAGGTTTCGGAGGAGACTAAGATTGACATACCATGATTAGATAGGTACATAATTTACTCTTTAAAAGAAAGATCATCAGAATCAATAATGCATGCGTGAGACTTGTAAAGAAAGCTGTGGAGACAAAAAATCCTTAAGGGTACCAATAATATCACTATGACAATTGCAATAAACAATTTATCTTCTACTAGTCAATGTGTGGTGATAAAGACAACCAAGTAAATACACCTACTCATTATTATTATAATCAAACACATATTTGCACGTCACATTACTAGGTAAAATAAATACTTAAGTATATTTTTTTCAATTGCTAGCACAATTCAGAATCTGGTAAGTAGATTCACAAAAATACACCTTTTAAAAATGATCGAATAACGTTCAAAAAGAAAATAGAAGTATATATAAACTTCTATTAAGGATTGGATCGAAGGGATTTTATTATTTACACACAACTTCATTTTTATTTTCTAATCCACTCGTACTATATTTTCACTCTATCTAGAGAAATAACTTTAAAACCCCTGCAGAGTGTAATTAATGCGTGCTTGCACCCGACCCTTGGGATGCGGACCCAACAATCTTTTGTTTACAGGGGAATGTAAACATTCTTTACATTTTGTATAGCTATTACAGTAATAAATTGTCCACTGACTGGATATGGATATATAGAAAGTAGTGTTGAAAAAAATTCTTAGTATGTACATAATGTAATGTCTTATATATCGACAATTACATAAATTGCGTTGATTTTAAACTTCATTGTGCAATGCAATAATAGTTAAATAACAGATAATGTTTACATTTGATTAACAAAAATATTGATACTGACCATTCTGTATGTAGTCTTGATATTCCTCCAAGTAAAGTGTGCGCGCACGTTTAGCAAGCTCAGCACCTCGTATTATAAGCTCATAGCTCTGTTGTTGAGTAAGCCCAAGGTGCTCCATAAAACCCTCAACCGACGCTTGATACGTATTTGTTATTATCAAGTCGGCGCCCGCTGCAAAATATCAATTTAATTCCTTGTAACGCTAGCCACATTAATCATTTCAAAGAGAGGTAATGAAAACGAATTAATTCTAAGATTAATGCCTTAAAATACTGAGCCGTTGCCTCTATTCGTTTTCTGTCAACTTTAATTAAATATATTATGTACTATTCTGAAAGTTTATATTAGGAAACTAACTCGATAAATATGCCGAACTTCTACGTAGTTACTACTATTATTAAGTGTGAGCAGGGTGCGGCTAAGAGGCGTAAACAATTAGTGTTATTAAAACTTAGTAAGTAACGTGACCCAGAGTGGCTCAACAATAAGGAACCGAGTAGTTCGGTAAAAGGAATCGTTGTCGAAGAAAATAATTATGTAATAAATAGAAGACGGGCGTACGGCCTGCGAATGGAAACGTATTAGACAGACAAGGTGATTAATGACAACGGCGGCTTTGTGTATCCGGGCTCCCGACTCTCACGACGCCGAACGACGCCCTACTATTAGGTACCTACTCTCCGGTGCTTGCGACTACGATGCCCTGTTGTATGCAAATGTGAGGTAGTTAGGAGGCACCGAGTAAATAATAGTATTGCTTGGAAACTTGCTACCGCTTCAATCATATTATTTGCAGCAAAGTTTTTGAATATATTTTAATATTTATAGATATATTAATATACCTAGATAAGTTCGCCATAAATAAAAACGAATATTTACACAATTTGAACTTTAGTTATTCTAAACATACAAACTCTTTTGAAAATACTATTTATCTGAATTTTACTCGGTTTGTATGTTATCCATGTAATAATACTTCCTTAAAAATGCCAACGTCACAAGGTCACAGCAATCCCACAAAACGAGCAACAATTTTTTATATTTTTTTTTCATATCGTGTCTCGTTTATGAAGAAGCAAAGCAAGGCAGTAGGTTTTTTCCTCAAGGGAGTTATTTGCTTGCAGACACTTTTCAGCTTTTCCTTATGAAAAGAAACGGTCCGTTTTGTGGCGAAGAAAAGCGCTTTCAGAGGACGATGACACGAGACGAGGTCGCACTCCCGCTGTCAGATGCAAGAAAATGACGGACTAAAAGCGACCTAACGTGTAATCCGTCAAAACATGCATGTACGATTTATATAGATACGTACGAGTAGGTAAGAGCTATGTACATTAAGTGAACTCGCTTGTGTCGTTACGCATTCGTTTGCGGTTTCCACTGAACGTAGGTGTCTTGAAATTCATTCAAACTTTGACTTTGGTATGGGGAACAAAGCAATTACTTTGCAGTTCAAAGGGGTTAGTTGTGCGTGACGTTTGTAAACAACCACTATTCATCAGATATGTAGCAGCAAATATGTAGGATTGAACTAGCTATATCCATGATCTTATGTTGTTTAGAACTTCGTGATGAAAGCATCTAATTACAATTTAAAGTTTTAGATATATCTATAATTTTAGTAAAAATTTAATCTGGAAGTATAGGTAATTTTTTTTGTAAACTTCAAAACGTAAACCTGTCTTTTTGAAGACTCTTTTTTTATCGTGAATATCTTCGCTAAATCTCAAAACTTCTCTAGGTATATCTTCTCAAAAATCAAAACTTGTGTGTGTGTACATATGTTTGTGTGAGTGTGTGTATGTGAATATGATAATAGGCACATGGATAGAGAATAATAATTATCTTGTATTGCTAGTAACACACAGAATTTTTTTCTTAATCCATGTGCGCAAAGCTTCGTCTTTCATTTAGTTACATTTATAGAAATAAATAAATACATTCAAAATTTATAAGTAAATGATTGGAAAATTTTCTTTTGAAACGACAAAATAGATACGTTACATTACATTTTAAAATATATTTATGTTAGGTTTTATCTCGAAGATACTGTCGTTTACTGTGGTCGATGAAGTGTATTATTTATTTAACCGCTAGAATAAAGATAATGTGAGTCGAGAACAAGAAAAAAAGTCTATATAGGTGCGATGGAAGTATTCTCATAAAAAGTTACTGTATAGACATACTATAAATACCCACCAACTAATAGAAACAATATAGACGGTTTGCAAACTACTTTCTATCAGCAATCTTGCAATTGATCGGGTTTATTTCTGTTTGTTTACAAAATATTGAGTCGTTTGTGTATGTGTGTATGTGTGCACATAAGTGCATGCGTGCGTGCGTGCATGCGTGCGAACATGCATGCGTGCGTGCGTGCATGTGTTTGTGTTGACGTTGCAAAGCAAAATGTACCTACTTGTCTTTATGTATCTTAATTTAATTACAATTCTTCTAAATTAATTGTATTAATATAAGGAATGCAAGTTTGACTCATAGGTAGCTACATGTTCAAGCTTACCTGTGTAGCAGACGTATCGTTATATTATACTTATACAGGTATGCATGCATGCAGATAGGTAACACATATCATATTAGTAACCTATATGTTGATAAATGTGTATCAACTCGTTATTAGTAATGTACATCAATGCTAAAAATATTAATCTACTCGCTTGGAACTAGATTACAATACACAATATACAGTGCTTAGCGACAGTAGGCGAGATAAAATAAATTAAGTGATAACATGTATTCAGTCATAATAAAGTAGTATAATATAAGTTTTGTATTTTTCCATAATAGCATTACTTGCTTCTTGCTTTCGCTATATTTTTGTATCACTTCAATTTGAATAAAAGGTCTAAAAGCAGTCTTTTGCTGATTTGAAAATTGTGTTTTCCTGTTAAAGTAACCGTGGCCTATTTCTTGCTTAATTTCCCCTTGGGTTCCTTACTGTCGTGAAAGAGAAGTAGTACCTACCTAAACATAATATTGACGCAAAGTACAAGACCTTTGTAGCGATATAATCCAGTATAAAGTTTAATAGTTTTAACTCTTAGAAACATAAACATACTCGATATGTTTGTTCAAAATTGTGTTTACCCATATTCTCGTAAACTCAGTATACAATAAACGACTTCCACTCAGGTACTTGTTTGTTTGTTGCTGTATATAAATATTACCCATTAATGAACTAACAGACTTATAAAATTTGACTAATAATGGCCACCGGTTGAATCTAATATTCTGAGAAAATTAATTAATAGATTGGTAATGATCTTATTAACATTATACGTATGTAATAACAAATAGTTGATTAGGGATCATATGTAAACATCAATATGTTACAGTATACCTCTCAGCACTTGTTTTTTTTACTACTATCTATCAGCTCTGTGACATTAGTTATTAGTGGAAACTTTATTGGTTCTTAAGTATTTATTTTGTATTACTTTTATGATAATTGTACTATTTGTTTTCCAATAAAATAAGATTTTATAGTCATATTTATGGAAATAGAAAGTCATTCTGGTATAAGAATGGCAACCTTCTGTGTAAAGACCTTCTAGGTCGAAGGCGAATGCTCGTAATTAAAGTATTTGTCAATCAATGGCGCTTAACGAGTTAGAAGAATTTTAATTATATTATGCCCAAAAACATACTTTCTGAATTTATATATAAAGTAATTTTTACCTAATTCACGCAAACAAAACTGTATTTCTTCTATCTCATATTATATAATGTATAAAAAAATATACTAATGTTAGAGTTTTTATGCCTTATCTATTATATATCTTATTATATAGAGTAATACAGAAATATGTGTGTTGTTGTATTTCGACATGTGTGATATACATATTTATATTATTTCGTATTATCTTTATGTGGAGCAACAATAAATAAATAAATAAATTATTATGATGTTGATCTAAATTTCTGAAGGATATGATAGCTAGTGCAATATCTAATAAAAGGAGCATGATATCTGTACAAAGAGAATTCCATAGAACTGCTATGCTGTTAGTAGGCTATGAGTGTATGCATTATGAAATAGCAATAGAATAATGTCATTGAGCAAACTAAGAAATAAAAAATGCACCTCCTTATTAATGACGAATAATAGCGACATAGCTATTTAATTTAAATGGGTAATGTAAAAATTTTAAGTAAGAAATCTCAATTTTTATCCATGCTTAAAATGTATAGAGACATCATGTTTTTTTAAATAAAATAATTGATATCTGACTTCATAATTATAATATTAAATCTTACTTCTAAAATTAGGTTTTCTTGTAGATAATTTCGATCATGATGAATGAAAGTACAACAATATAGTTTATTTTTAATATATATGTATATTTTAGAAAAATCACTACATTATCATTACTATAATGTAAAATACAAATCATATTTATTTGTATGATTTGATTTTAATCGAACATTCAATCGTAAGTTGGTTAGTTGCAAGAATACCAGTAGAGCATGGGTATATAAATATAAAACGCAAATGGAAACTTAGATCACTATTTTTCAAATAATTCTTATACGAACTACATTATTCAATGTCCTCTACCCAAAGGTTGTCTGGAAGAGATTGCTTAGCGATAAGGCCGCTTTTTGTATCACTTCTCATTAATATTTACTGTATTTATTATTTTTTTACTTGGTGCAATAAAGTGTAAAATAAATTATTTTTATACTTAAAATGACAAACAAACTAACGGTCCACCTGACGGAAAATTGCTGCCGTCGCCTATAGACATGAACAGGACTTTATATATCACAAAAAACATAGTGATGAGTTGTTATTTTTTAAGACTGTGATATTATCTCTCCGTACTTTGTAATTTTACTGCCATAATCCACTCTTTAAAGCGAAACCCATGTATGCATATATTATTGCTTCACGGCAGTAACACGGGTGGGATAGTGGTACCCCAGCAAACAACTTTTGTACTTATATTTATTTTGTATATTGTCGTATTTAAAAGTGTAAAGAATTACCTCTAAGAAAATCGAGATGTGTATTAATGACCTCCTCTGGATGTGTGTGAAGGAATCGGGCGCTCCAGAGTGGGTCTCCGTCTATAACGTGACCTACGTGGCAAGACAGCTGAGTGGAAAACCCGCCGTCCAGCACCACGATACGCGGGGCGTCTACGCCCTCGCCGTTTGTCGGAGTCATCATCTACTCCGCAAACTGTAACCAAAAAATTTATAATTATGTAACATTTGCCTTCAAGAATATTGGTTTTTAAACGTTAGATTGATTGCAGACTGTCTTTGTAAACAAGGTAAAATGGAATAGGTATCCTTTCCATTTTGTTTTTATATAGGTATAATTTATACGTATATTGTTCGTCAAAATACCTAAATATGATTTCAATTGTAATAATATTGATATGGTACAAAATTATAGTAAACAGTATCTAGTATATAGCGTAACGTATTACACAAAAATATACCTACAGCGGAATGTTAACCTCTTATATATACAACGTGCATCAAAAACGAATCAATTTTTTGTCAAATTTGATAATTAGCTAACTCGTTTTTTTTAATGGATGTTGATGTCGAAAGTAATTACGCATAAAAAGTACCTTGATGTATTATTTAATAAATAAAATGAATGTTTATGTATTAATAAGATGCAGAAATTATTATATAGTTAGAAAGGAATCACTCATAACTATTTATCACGCAAAATTGTATAAAATAGTTGACATGTTTTTCTCGAAACATTTTTATAGAGACACTATCCATATATACTAAGATTATATCATGAGAATATGTAGGTATAGTTACAATAATATAACTATGTAATACTTATAATGTAAATTTAGTAATGATAATTTACACAATTTTTTCTTAAATGCGAAATTTTCTAAGCTGTTTTATATCAAAGTTTTTCATATTTACATACTGCAGTTTAAAAATGAACTACGTAATTTTCAATAAACATATTTCAGTAGTTGTCTATTAAAATTGTCCTTCTGATTTTTATACCATTAGCAATAATATATATATTAAACGAGGGTTGATGACCTATGCGAAGTCTTTAAATAATAAGTATGGGTTTGCTTTAATAATAACGTTATTTCCGGTAACTGCAGTCTGCAACTCGATAAAATGTTAGGTTTATTCGTAGATAAAAAGTACATAATGTTTTGTGCATATTGTAATATTAGAATTCAAATGTTTATAGGCGACGGTTACCACTTTCCATCAGGTGAGCCGTCAGCTTGTTTGCCATTCTAAGTTGTATAAAACAAATAAAAAAAAATTGTTACAAAAATTTCTTACATGCCTATATTTGTAAGTATTACGAAGAATTTTATATTAAAAATTATAAATTTTAGGCTACGATGTATGGTGGCTTCATTATTAGTCAATACAATACGTTTATTTGCTTATTATAGACGAACATGCAGATAGACAGTTGTTGCTATAGTCATATAACAATAGGTATTCATATACTTATTACCTATATGATAATTATAAAATAATCATTAACATAGTAATTATCTGGATTTATCAATATAAAATTGTATGGTTTGAAAAATTACATTAAACATATATAGAATAATTAAGCAGTTAGTTCATGACACAATTACAATATCATTAGATGCGATAATTTAAGAATGAAATGTGAATATATATTTTTAATATATTTTCTTCAGTCTAATTTATTAGCATGCAATATTTTATATAAATTTTAATAAAAAAAATATTTCTATATCCTTCAATCTAACAAACTCTGCTAAATTAACAGGAGATGGTTTAATGGTTATCTAGGCACTTATTTTAGTGTTCCTTTAATACTAGTAGTTTAAGGTTGTTCTTTATATTTTCTTTTATTAATAAGATTGTTGTTTACAAGTATACACACCTCAAGATCTATACAAAATATTATAGAAAACCGTTTAATTTCTTCCATGAGTGGCATTGCCTTGATAATAGTTTATGTAATAATACTAATTATTTATCAAATATATTTGGACATTAAGTATTATTTTACACGTTGTGATATGACACTACCGATAAACATGTATGTTAAAACTGTTTAATATGTAGTATACGTATAATATATAACACATAACAAATTATCAAAAAATTGTTAAGAATATTTAACTAGTAGAAAATGGTTAACTAATAAAAAACTAGCATTAATTAATTTTAACTACCCTTTGTTTGATCATGAATAGATTTAATAAGCATCTTAATAATAATATAATGTACAAAGACTACTGTATAAAATTTTATATTATCATATAATAATAAAACATTTTAAAATATTTCTAGTAATCTTATATGCATGTAAGTAAAATTGTTTATGTGTAGGTACCTGCATACACATATTGAAATAGATATATGTATACTATAAAATTTTCAGTACCTAACTAGATTTATTGACCGTATTTTAATATATACCTATTTTAACCTACTAGATACTTCGATTTTAGACTTGCTTATTACTTACGCAGTTGAATAGTTTTATTTTTATTTTCTACATTTAGGCAAATCAATCATATGATTTGTGTTTATCATGTGGTTTGCGTATAGAAAAAAAAAATATTTCGACCGACAAAAATTAGTAACTTCAAGGATATTATTTAATAAATTTTCGTGATTAAAAAAGCTAACCCCGAGTAACGGAAAAAGACGAAGCAAAAGCAGAAGAAGGACAAGGAGTAGGAAAATTATTTATCTGTGTTGCCATATCTCGTTAGCTTTCATGTCGCGTCTGTCTCTATCTCTGTGTTACCTATGTTCCTTGAGAAAAGTCAGTCAGTTTTATGAATACTATAGATAATTTTAGATTTGATATGTATATTCCGTTACACGCCGTATAATATTTATATGGTGGGCTGCAGTAGTTACTTACCATCAGGTGAGCCGCATGCTCGTTTGCTCTGTGCAATAAACTGTACCTTTATATTTATTTATAATTTTGTAAAACTTTTATTACGAGCTATCATAAACATCTATCAATTAGCTTTATTTATTATATTATATTATAAGTTTAGTTACTGACTCATTATCAACACACGAGACTGGAGATGCTTGATCCCTTATGTTGATTTTTACTTCTTGTTTCTAAGTCACTGAATAGTTACAAGTCATATACATGCATTTTTATAAGCGATGCATGCACCTATTTAATCCTTTACACACAACAAATTGTGTGTAAAATGAATTTTACACATCGTACAATGTAAATAAATTTAATAAAAAAAAAAGGTTAAAAATATTTGCACCAGGACTCTAAAAAAATACAATAAATGAATCCCTTAACTTTCTGTATTCATAGACTATAGTCCATAACTGGGATACTTGATTACGTAATATTTGATGAATCGTACATACATATCAGATAATAACTACCGTATTGACTTGTAATTTTACAACTTTTTCTAAACTTATTAGTTTTATTTATATAGCTCCTTTCACAAACAAAATACAAAATCCATCAGTGCCCTAATAAAAATTTTATAACTTAATTTGTCGACGTAATATAGGAAAAGAAACAATTTGTCAAAACATTTCCGCAAATCTGATAATCCTACTTTGCATTTCACCTTGTCAGAAAAATCTTAAAAAGATTTATGGAACATGGAAGGGTCTGCTAAGTAACAAGTGCTGATTTTAAAATCCGATTAGCAAAATAAACCAAAATGGGTGAAATGCTCATTCATTAATTCGCATTAGACATGTGTTCGCAATATTTTCTATAAATATTTACTAATTAATTTTCAGATACACATCTACTTACATATGCCTTTCAGCAATTCTATTAGTAAAAAAGAATGTGTATTCTTTAGATTAGTAATTACTATTTCACAAAACTTTATTGTATTTTCTTATTGTTAGAATTTTCAAATTGATTTTACGACAAGTCACATAATTATATTATTAATTAAATACTTTAAATAAATAAACAGAAAAAAGTTACATAAAAATACAAAATTTTGAAATTAATAAATACATAATTTTGTAATGAAGACTTTTTAGTTTTTGTACCTATAATAAAAATGTAAACAAAAAGCTATTTATTTGTTTCGATCTCATAGTTTCTGATTTTAGTAAAAAATATATATACAAATTATTATATATACAAATACCTAATGTACTTAGTAGCCTAACCAATTCTAATATTACATTTGTAGGTATCATTATTATATTTTTACATTGCTTTTGGTAATAATAATATATGAAATGTACAAAATTATAATAAAATTGAGAAATATATCAGAATATTATGTGTTAGTACCTGCACACAGAACCGACGGCGGTTAATTTCCGGAAAACATATCGATGGTCGAGATGTGTGTGGTTACAACCCTTTAGACGATGCTGTTGGATACTGTTTACATATATGTATAGCGGAAATTTTATGGACTTACTATGTTTTTATTCCCGACATTTGTTTCGACTTCATCCGTAAGTCTTCTTCAGGAGGAGTATGGAGCTTTGCATCACAGCGTTTCATCTCATACGACGTCCAAGAAGTCGAAACAAACATAGTAAGTCCATAAAATTCCTGTTATATATAAGTTTTAAAAATAATATAGGCACTACTTAGTTGCAACTAACCGTGACGTTACTGAAATTTGTGCTCAGATATACATTTCAAACTAATTATAGTCGATTAACGGAGTTTTACATATAAGGTTTGAACGTACAAAACATAACAAATTAATAAATGTATGTATTCTATTGTATGGTATTGTATAAATAAATCTATTTTTCATAAAATTTAAATTACATGCTTCATATAAACTTTTATTTTTTACCTTTATCTTTTACGTAGTAGTATAAATATAATTTTATATTGTACCTATATGTATGTACCACATATTTACTTATTTATCCGTTACAATTAGATATGTTATATTCAAAGCAATGTTTATATGATTTATGCAACAATGTTACAGAAGTGTAAATTATATCTAGGTATTTTTATTACACGTGAACTGTAGGTATATTATTGTTCCAGATAAGCACTAAATATGTTAGATAGGTATCTATTGTTGATATATGTACCTAGTTAGTATGGAAATGTCTAAGGACTTCATTAAAAGCACTAGAAAATAATATTGTTGGTAAATGATAAATCTGTCAACTGTCCTATCAAAGACGAAAGGGAGGTCATATATTTTAACCTAACAGCGGTTTATCTTTTACAATTATATAAACAATACCTAGCTTTTTATCTTAAAATTAAAATGCTGTAGGTACCTATCGAATATTGTCCAAATATTAATAACATATTTTTGTGTAAGTTTTTTTATACTTTCTATAGATTTTTGGCACATGCTAGCATAAATGCTAATCAAATAAATTTGATAATCTAATTAAAAACTTTGTGCACTGCAAGTCGAGCCCTTGTCGAGAAGTTATAAAATTATTTTGGAATTACATAAAATGTGAAAGACATTCTAATTAAACATAAATCACTACACGAAAAACTTGGGGCTTGCAGTGAAAGCGGTTGAGACATTTTGCAGCCGAAGAAATATCGTTTTCGACAACAATATTTTAAGCGTCTCGACATTCACCTGAGCTCGAGGGCGGCGAAATGAGTTATTGTGAACTCTGATGCGCATTACATTCCTACTAATACATCGTACTATGTATAAAACAACACGTGTACTTATTTATAGAAATAGTATATTTGTATAATTACCTATCTATATATAAGCATGTGGATATAAATATATAAAAAAATTTATATCACGCAATTAATTATCATATTTAACATCATGAAAGTTTTGAAATTGTTGATGGATAATACAATAAATTGATCCTCTTGTGAAATTTATATAATAAATAATAATTTATAAAAGAACAATATAAGTGTATAAATACATAATAATTACAATAGTATTTAAATGCTTATTTCTTAGTTGTGCAATTAATTTACATATGATTTAAGTACACATTGTTCGTTTTACTTAAGGACCTTCAAAATAATTCAAATTGATATGCGTACTTGGTTTCTTCAAAATCTTATTTCGGATTTTATCAGATTTTAACTTGAACAAATTGACGTAGGTTCTTAATCATTAATTTAGGTTTGAAATCTTATTACATTGTATATCCATGTGCCAATATATTTAAATGTAAAACAAAGAAGCCAGGCTGCCCACTCCAGTGTCTCTAAAACTATATACGTTTGTTATAGGCACTGAGCAATTCAAGATAGATACAGGTCTCTTATTAATATAATAAAATTGTGACTAAACGACGCCTGTACATGGGATATATTAAAAAAAAATAGGCCGATATGACAGGTCTTAATAAGACCAATAGATGTCAAAAATATAATTTCTGAAATTTTTACTGTCAGTCTGTACGTTTGTTTCGACATTACAAAGTTTTCACAGTTGTATACCCAAAGTTCTAACTTAAAATCTGGTGTAAGTTTATACGCCATCTAGAAGAGGTATATTTAATTGGTTTTGCTATTTCTGAAATCCATGCGTACGGAGTAGCGAACAAAAACCTAGTATTAAATATATACTTGCTTTTACTGACACAATTTATAAATCTTCTTACCTTATTAAGACTGAACCGAATTTAAATATTATTATTATTTCTTGACCTAGAGAGGTAATTGATGATGATGATGCTTACTGACCGATTTCGGTCACGGCAACCGTTACTAATAATAATTCAACTCCGTTACTATTCAGTTATACAGAGGGGCTACTAGATTAGTTGTTATACGCTTAAATTGTGTTCGAATGTGGCTTATGTAAAACCATAGATAATTTATCTACAATAAGTATAAAGATATATAAAAAATTATGATAACTGTCATTGAACTGATTACAAAAATATATTATATCCCCACGTTTGCCGAGTCGTTTATGGGGTATGAGCAGTAGCAGCTGATTGCGAATGGTCTTTATCATAGCTGATATATATTTCACACTTTCATTTTCTTTCCCAATACAGCGTAAGTACAATAGCGTAACATGCATGGCACGTCGGGTCCAAAGGCAACTTATTTCAATCCTCATCTATATAATTTTAATGGGTTCATTGACATTCTGACATTAATATTTTTACAGTTCATTGTCTGTCTTTGTTGACTTCTTGAAGGAACTTCATTATACTAATTTCTATTGTAAAGTATGATATTTTGCTATATGTTCCTCTATAATCAATATTTAATTGTTGAATATTATATTTTTAATTTTTACATAAGCGACTGGTTTCTAAAGCTGTACATCATCAAAATGTATGTATATCAATGTTTAGAAATCTCCTATTTGCTGTACCCAACAGGGTTCATAATTGAAATGTAATTTACTAAGTATATTATGGAATACAATAAGAAATAAATAAATTCTTAACGTTAAATTTTTTAAAAAAAAAATTGAATTTGAGTTGAAATACACAATTTTTTATAATAAATCTGACGATGATGTGTTAATACCTGTCACTTATCTAAATAGGTAATAAGTATAAATTCAACACTAAATAGGCACTATGCAAATTATCTTATTTATTACGTTACAATTACTAAAAAAATAAACATTTAAGAATACATTTTTTTAATATATAGGTACTATACATTTATCATACGTTAGAGGAATGCAAATATTGTCATAAAATATCTATAATATTATTACAATTGGTATCGTGTATTAACATTAAATTAAGAAAATATTTTTGGATGTTTACGTGGGCTGCCGAAGGTTATTTTTGTTCACACCGGTTTTGTACGATCATGTATATACTTATTCCGAGACCTATGCTGGTTAATATTACAATTTGGCTTCTTGTTATTCAATTGATACGACAAGCAATAGCTAATAAATCATAATACATGTGGAAGCAAAATTATTATAATGTGACCTACCTATCCAGCTCTTAACCAGTTTCAATCTACAGTACACACTAGTGAATTTAAAATATTGCAAATTATAACTTACATTAGGTACTTTTCCGTGAACACACAATTTTAATAAATATTTTATTTTAGCTTATATATAAAACTATTTGGTCGATGTTTAGGTGTCGATCAACAAAAACGACGCGCAAACAAGCACTATCGCGAACACGAGTGTATCGGCACTCGCACCGTGGCGCCGCACACAATGTTACTGACGATTATTTTAGTAGAAAAAAAAAACATGAAACATATTTTTCCGCAATAATTTAAAATATTATTCTTTTTTGCGCAACTTCCAATAAGCGTACCAGATAAACAACCTATTTGACGATTAGATGAACACTGAATATTAAACGATGGCCGTGAGTAGGTTTATTCGAAGAATATATTTACATACTTGAATACATAAATATAATAAAACTAATGACTTTGAGTTATCGCAGACGTTATTATCAGTTGGTACTCAGTAGTAGATAACGAAACTCTAGAGTGTAGCTGTTCTTTAGGGAATATTTGTCTATTATAGCATAAAAAGGTAATCATTTTATTAAATTAGTGATATAATAATATTTCATGAAATAATTACTGCATATACAATGAAATCATATTAATACAAAGTTATAATATATTGAACATCTTGCGAGACAAATGCAGGTTAGCTATTAATTTATTTTTTGGTTTTTGTTTATTTTTTTTTTTTCAATGCAGCGTCATTCATCATTCATTCAGGTTTACTGAAAAATAATCTAATTATATCAAGAAACTGTATTTTTTTTTTTGTGATTACTTATATTTTTGTTCCATATTTTATAGTATTGTGCACGTTGGGCATTCTTCAGCGACCAGTGATTGGCTCGCGATGTGTGTTTTGAGACATCAGATAGATATTAATAGAGTTATCAACGCGGAGCAATGTACTGCGTACACAGTCAGTTAAAAGTGAGCCCATGGCAATTCCGGCGATAATATAATTAGTACCTACTTACATTGTAAAATAAATAGCTCTATATTATCACACACGTCGCTATAAAAGTAGAGTGATTTTAATTTGATACAATTAATAAAATTTTGTGTTTGCTCTCCTTAATGTCGGTGGTGTGGTGGTAAAATTTCACTCAGTTTGTGCTAGCAATTGCCCATTGTTTTGACTTTTTTTAATTGATTATAATAGAATAGTGATCTCGCCTGCGCTAACAGCATACGCTGGCGGGACACCAGTGAGGAATGATAGGTGAGGATGAAACGGCAGGTCAGTTAGCCTAACGTGATGATTACACCTGGAATTCAGCACAATGGTTTCCAGGAGGGACCACGTGGAGGTCGACCTGACAAGGTATATTGTTAACCATGGGACTAGAATTTCTAATTACTAACCCCCCTCCCCCTCCCCGTCGTCTTACATTGTCTATGTTTAAATCAGAAGGGTAAGACATTCAATAGAATCTCTAATAAAAAGGAAAGACTTTTGTACCCAAAAAAGACAAGCAGAAAGAGCGATACACTATATTCTGTGATATTCATGGTGTTGTTGTCTTTATACGGCAGTTATCACTTGTCGTCGGGTGGGCCGTCAGTTTGTTTGCCAATGGCAAACAAGCTGACAATTTTTTTGTATTGCTGGGAGTGGCAAATTGTCACTCCCATTGGTGATATTTGAAATAGATAGTGAAATATTTTATGTTTTATTATGTTTCATTTTATATATATATATATATATATAAATATATATATATATATTACTCTCTAATTCGGTAAATTTTGTTTTCTCCAATAGGAATTGACAATACACATTTCCAAAATTTCATTAAAATCAGTTAAGCTATTTCGGAGGTCAACGTCATCGAATATCGAATTACGGGATTTTTTGCAATCTTTTATTGATGACAATCCTTAAATATTTCCTAAATAGTTATCATATAAATACTTTTTAATAATCATGATTGTATTCCATAATAAAAAACCGGCTTCAATTATGACAAAACCCGTTATTTTGTTTTAAAACTAAACTAATAAATCGATTTTGATATGGGACCAATTTGTAAGTATAAATTTTTAAATAATAATTTCTAAAGCAATCTACAGCTGACGAAGTTATGAGAACAAACATAAAAATATACAATCGAATTGAGAACATTTTTGAAAGCGGTTGAAAATTACGCATTGATTCGCAGAATTGCAATTACGATCCAAAAGCAAAATCCATGTTGATGTCCCCGAGCAGTTTTGAATTTCCACATAAACTTTCGTTCTCTTTGTTACACGTTTAAACTGAAGGTACATGAACAAAGGGATAGGTAGATAGTTATCTAGTCATTTCTGGTCCTCTACCATTATTAGTAGTTATACTTTATAGCATTTATAGAGCAACTGTTTACATCTATGTGTTAGATTATATTCTCTATTAGAATAATAAATGTTTTCGATAAAAGAGTCAGTAAAGTAGAACTAGAGAACATGTCGTTGCATGATTTGCCTCAATTTCTATGTTATATGCACTTTCTTTATTGAATTTTCAAGAATTCATCTGAAGTTTTATTATTTATTACAGATACGTATTAGTATTGCCAGTATTTGCTTATATACTTAATATTTATATTGTACAGTTTACTCTACCTATGAGCTTTAAGAGTAAAATGTGAAAAGATCCCTCGTTATTGTCTCGTCACAAAAGAAATTTATTTTTCAAATATAGCTCTGTAGTTACACTGTATGATGCTAAGTCAGTTATCCAGTAGCAGTAATTATAGTAGCAGTTCCCTCTTTATAATTAAGTATAGATGTATCTCAATAAGCATAAGCCATAACTATCTCTATACAGTAAACAGTGGAATCGATTGTGAAAAACCATTTTATGTATCTATTTCTAAAATAAAAATAGCAATTTAATGGTATAAATTAAATTTTTAGTATTATTTTGTCAAAACTACAGGTAATAAAATGTCTTATATTTAAATCTCGATATAAACACACAAAAGTTTTAATGATACACGTAATAGTTTTGCTTAACTATCAAATTAAAAATGAAAATAAGTTTGGAGAATGGTACTTTAAGATTAAATCTCACTATACAGTATTTTTTAAATTATAGGAATTCTGTATTTGCAATTAATAAACCGTCTACTGACAAAATTTTTCACAAACGAAATCCATACAATGTTTCATGTTCTATTTCTGCTTCTATAAATAAATAAAGAGAATAATTTCAAAATTACTTGCTTACGAATATTATTGATGTAAGACGCTTGAGGTGTGAGTGGAGTTTTATAGTAGATAATACCAATATATACAAATACCCTCAAACTCAATTTTACTGGCAAATAATACAAGAAAATTTCAGGCTATCCCTCTGTCCAATTATCACTCAAATCGGTTACAAAGCTATACAAAAAAAAAATATAACAAACAAATAAACATTGTAGCTTTCATGTTATATTATTTTCATTGCTAATTATATTAGCATTAAATGTATTTTTTAACTATTAAGTGATGATGACGATTATGATCAACGAGCTTTGTTTACTATAACAGCCACTTGTTAATTTCTCGCTGAATATTATTATTCTTATATTTATTTATAGTTCAAATACTCTTTTGCTAATTTTGATGATTCTCATACATTAAATGACAGGATTTAAAAAATTATATACTTAGATTTTTTTGCTTTACCCGCGTGAAAAAAATACAGACGTCAAACACGGATTTAATATAGTAATGGGAATTGCAAACAAGATGTCGGCTCACCTAATGGAAAATGATAACCTTCAACTATAGACATGTACTACAATTTGCGTAGCTTCAGCATCCCACAATAGCTATTAATCTAAATAAAAAGTCACCAAACTCTACTCAATTATATTTTTTCATGCTGCAGTTAGTATACAGTGCCAAATGTTATTTTCTGTTGTTTTACGATATTATTATGACTGTTTAGCGGTTCGTAGATGATGTCCATCTGTGAAATTTCAACAATATAGTCCCAGTAACCTCGAAATAAAACAGCTGTGTCACACAGGAGGAAGGCCAAACGAAATATATGTACGTAAGGTTTCCATTTTTGTGTTTATGTATTAAAGTGTACATCTATTCATATTTTTATAAATATATCTATGTATAATTATTTCTGTTTTTTCGTATCGTTATTTATATATAGCTATTTATCTAATTAACAACACTTTAATTAGGCTCTTACTGTAAAATGATATAATGGACCAGACACCTTTTAATAGTAGATATAAGTTTTTTACAATGATACAAAGTAGATATGTAGATTTTTTTCCCAATATATCATAAGCGCAAAACGCAATTTAAAACAGGATACAAATTGTGCAATGATACGTAAGTAAATACATTATTCACTCTCGTTTCATCACACAAGATGACAAAGAGATACTTGAAAACATTGTTATACATATGTAGGTAGCTATTTGATTTCTGACGTTTGTTTTTGCGATGATCACATAAGTATTGGAGTTGTATTTATAACAGACTCCATTAGTATAAATGCGTGTTATCTAAAATTTTCAGAAAGAATGAGTTTCTCAATTCGACTAAAGTTTTTTATATCTTATGCGAAATCTTCGCCAATTGTGTAGGTACTAATTTTAAAGAGTTTATATTTTTTTTTTTTTTTTTTTATACAACTTAGAATGGCAAACAAGCTGACGGCCCACCTGATGTAAAGTGGTAACCGTCGCCTATAGACATGAGCAGTACCATGGACATAACAGAGTATACTGTTTCGCCCATGATACTCCCCATGCGTTGCCACTCCTGAGGACTCAGATGTTATTCCTCTGTACCCAGTAAATTCACGCCATATCCCACCCTTCAAACCGAAACACAGCCATGCAAACACAACTGCTTCACGGTAGAAACACGAATGGGACAGAGGTACCCAAGCAATCGACTTTTGTACAAAGTCTCCCTCTGGTAAATATTTAGTCATCATAGTTTATTTGATATAGTTATAACATATAATATAGTTTATTGGTCGGAATATTTGAATTATTTCTTTTATAGTAGCTACTCAGGGAGACTTTGTACAAAAGTCGATTGCTTGGGTACCTCTGTCCCATTCGTGTTTCAACCGTGAAGCAGTTGTATTTGCATGGCTGTATTTCGGTTTGAAGGGTGGGATATGGCGTAAATTTACTGGGTACAGAGGAATAACACCTGATTAGAGTCCTCAGGAATGGCAACGCAGGGGGGGGGGGTATCATGGGCGAAACAGTATAGTCTGTTATATCCATGGTACTACTCATGTCTATAGGCGACGGTTTCCACTTTCCATCAGGTGGGTCGTCAGCTTGTTGGCCATTCTAAGTTGTATAAAAAAAAAAAGTATTGTTAAAAATGATGTTGGTTTTTTACTCGTAATTACAATTTTGTGAATATATCGGTGTGTAGATTTAGAAAAGAGAATTAAGAATATGTACTGAGAATAAAATAAAAGATATAGGGAAAACTTATAAGGAAACTATTTGGCAAGCAACTGAGCTAAAAAGTGCTTTATCCTACTAAGTAACTCCAAGGTTATCCTCCAGTAGAAGAGCCAGTTGAACACCTATTTATAAAAGAGATTAAAAGTAAAACAAAGAAATAGAGAAAAAACTATCGGTGAAAAACGATAAAAATGATAACGTCGTCTGTAAATATGAATAACACTAGAGATCTACATAATATATACACATTCACCGAACGAAAAAGTGTGATTCCTAGTATTCCTTGCACATTACCAGTGTTATTCCTCAGTACTAGATTTCCTGACTGTATAAAAAAGAAACACAATAGCATGCATTTTTGTTTCATCATAAAATAAAAAATTACAGAGAAGTAACTATTACGCGATTATTATATTACGCTATTCAAATATAAGATAGTATATAATGTTGTCTGTTGGTAACAATCGAGCAAAATGTCGATGATATCCATGAACTGTGTTATCTTTATTATTTATGTAAATAGATATTACAGATAGGTACGCCAAATATTACAAACAATGTATATTTATAAATTTTAACAAATGCTGTGTTTATATAATAGTACAGGGCTAGAATACATTTACACATTCATTTAAATCGTATTATGTAGTAGATACTCGTATTTGGAAATAGCCACAAAACAGATAACTACACAAAATTCACTTCAATGTTAACTAAGCATGCGTTCATGCTAAAATCGCAACTGAAAACTAAGAATAAAAGGGTAGAAGAAAAAAAAAACACACACACACACACACACACACACACTAATTTAATTGCTTACTTACGCACACGAATATACGCATAAGAATATGACGACTCAAAAATGCTTAAAAATATGTCTTTCTTTTTT